GAAAATGTGTCCAGAGTAAGAGGTACGTTTTTAAGATTTTTAAATTACATTCAGTGGCGAGGTTTTGCAAAAAAAACTTAAAACAACAGTTGAATAGTTTGAGGATATGCCTTTTGGCATTTGTCCTGCAAATACAAAAGAACGTTAGTAACAGTAATAGTAAAGTTGAAAGTTTTTTTTTATTGAGGATACCACTCATAACCTGTTTACAAAAGATGAAACATTAACATTAAACACGGTTAATAGTCTACAAAAATAAATATACGCATAACAAAATTATTCGGTCATATTTTTTAAACCTTAAATATTTACAACTTCAAATCAGCCTAATAAGTGGGTGAATATTCAAACACGGTATTTCCCGGACAGTGGATTGGTAGAAGGGGATCAATAGATCTCCCGATATTACTCCACTGGATTTTTTTTGGCTGGGGATATTTTTAAAATTGAGTGAGTAATGTTCTGGAAGGGTAAACTTTGTGTTTACCCTTCCAGGTCTTGGGGTGAATGTTCTTTTCTTTGAATTTTTTTAAAAAGTAAGAGATAGATGGAGATGGTGGTACTCTACATGAATTATGCGTGAAATTTGACGCAGAATTTGAAAATGGATGTTAAAAAACGGTGTCCCATTTAAAATAAGAATCTTGGTGTGGACGCCTATTATTTGACCAGCCCTGCATATTTTCCGTTTAGATCAAAAAATGCGAAAGAAAAAATTACGCCTTCGCTGTATATTTTCCCATCTTAAATTAAATAAGCTTGACACGTTCATCGTTTCTTAAGGTAAGGGTTTTTTTTTTTCATAATTAAATCCGGGGTACCGTAAATTGTTAAACCGTAAACAGAACAAAAATTTTATCTCGCTCAGATCACAGCGTCTAGGCGGGTCGTAATCCCAAACCATCCTTGAACCGTTTTACAATTCCTTAATTATATGTATATACATTTTATGGTACCCGTTGTTTTAACATGGAAATAAATTTTAAGTGACACGCGGGGATTTTCATTGTAAATATGAATATATCTTTGGCAAACATTCGTCGCGTCAGTTGCGTGTTAAAATTTTCGTCTTTGGCCTATAAAATCCACTTAAATCGCGTAGATTATAATGCAGATAATTTCCATATAGTTATTAGTATATAGTATGCGCTCTTAAAGATAAGCGAAATAACAATAGGGAACTTGAATAAAATTTCAATTTTAAAAATATTGATTTTAAAAGTAAGTTTATACTATGAAAAGAACGACAGTTCACAAAAAAAAATAATTTCGTAGTTCTATTTAACAAATATAAGCAATCAAAAAATGTAAAATTTAAATCCTCTTTGGTGGTTTTAATTTTAATTTTAATTTTAATTTTAGTCTTTTTTTAAAAATATAATTTACCTTTAGTGCGTAAATTTATGGTGACATTTTCTATACAAAACACCGAAAGTTTTTCTTTTGCTGAAGTTCGAGGTGTTCAAGCTAAAAGGCATGTTTATATAAGATTTAAACCAATATAATATCGTAATCAGCTTAAAGTTTTCCAGTTAAATTATTCAACAAAAAAGGCTTCTTTTTAATTACTGGAAATCTAAATCCTGTTTATAAAGTATATTGCCATTGATAACTTAAGAGTGTTCATTTTATATATGGAGACTAAAGTGACACTTGACTAACTTGGCTAACAACAAATGACGGCTTTTATATTCTGGTAGATGAACAAAAAGTTTAGCTGGCGTTTTACTTGTAATATTGCGTTTGTGTCGGCTCCATTATAATCATGAAAAGCACACTGAGCACAAATAGAAACTGGCGTAGATTAAATACAAACACACCTTTACACGAGCCAAAAATAAACGTAAATAATATAATTCTCGGCCTATAATCTGAGAATAACATTTCGTCGTATCGATAGGAAAGAAGCGGTATGACGTCACGAGCATTTCCGCGGGTTTGGCGCCGTTTAAAAGGAATATACGGCTGTCCCAACTTGAAATTTAATATTAAATATTTAATATTTATTATTAAAATTTAAATATTAGATTTTGAGCGTTGATATTTGGTATGCGTTATTTCTATACATAAACCAATTGTATTAAAGAAATTAAAAAAAATATTCAAACTTCTATTTTTGACTATTAGGTAAGTAGGTTGTTCGCTGCACAAATTTCTCACAAATGCAACGGGAGCATGTCGCTCGGTTCTGAAGCAAAGTGCTAAAAAGAATAATCAATACGAATCGACTACGTTAATTAGAGAAAACGTAATGTAATGTGGGTATCGCTCGAAACGGGAACCGGATAATATACAGGGTGTTTCAAACAATTTTTCAGGTGTTTCCTCACATGTTCTTTTCTCACAACCTGTAATAGTTATGAATAAATGTGTTCTTTGATTTTAAGCGAACTTAAATATTATATTATATTACATTATAATATACAGGATATCCCAAATCGGCGTTATCGAAACCAGCGTTGGAATTTTAAATGAAACACCCTATATTTTATTGCGTTGCGACCTATTTGATACCGGAGGGTTTTTGAATATGCAGATTTCAACAATGCTAACACTGCATAATTTCATTATTTTAAATGAAATTCATGTCATGCTATTTACAAAACTTCTGGATTCCTCCTGCGTCGGTTTTTGCTCAGTCGAACTTACTGACGTTTCGCCAAACATCCTGTTGTTTCTTAAGAGCTTGACTGAAACTGGCTCCTATTTTACTGTGTACCTGCTTATATATTGTTTGAGGGGCGCGGAGCTAAATAAGGGACATAAACACCGTCTCGGATGACTGGTTCCCATATTGGTGACAGGTAGAAACCTGAGTCGCGGTTAAGATTGTTAGGTTGTTTATAGATTTCTATAGACTCTCGGATTTTTCGTTGGTAGAAGAACTGATTAAAATTGAATAAAAACTGAATAAAATTTTATGTCCTTTTTCATGAGTGTGTTCGGCAACAGCTGATGAGTTTATTTGTCTTAGTCGTAAAGTTTCTTTGAAAAAAAAAATCATATCGATTTCGGTAAGGTCCCATAATTTTAAAATTTTGTTTCTATGTATTACTGAGCTACTCGCAACTGAGAATGTTAGAATATCTCCAAAACTACGACACAAAAAATTCCCATTCCAAAAATTTGCAGGTTTTTGAGCATAGGAAGCTTTAAAAATGTATCAGTAAAAGGTTACCAGAAGTATAAATATCATCGTTAATATTGCTATTGGTAGTTTTTCTGAGGCAACAAATAAGTGTTCTAATTTGATGACAGTTATAATTTTTGAATTCTGTATGTTCAAAAACTAAAACAGTTTTTTATCATTCCATCTTTGGCAGGTTTGTAGATATTTAATTGTCCCATTCCTTTTTCTAACTCTTATATTAGCACACAATACTTAGATTCAATAAATTTTCGAATCTAGAATTTTACCGGGTGTCTTTTTTGCGGTATGGGTTTCGAAATTTATAAATGCCGAGATCCATTTTTTGGCACACCCTGTATATTATACCTTTAGCGGAACGCGCATAAAATCTTCTATACATATATATAGTTATTGTGTAATTGTTTGACTTTTTCTCTTTTGTTTGTCATTCCATTTAAAAAAACAATGTACAGATTTTTTCAACAAAAAATATGGCAAACGAGACGTCCTGTACACTTGGTTATATCGATTTCACCCAGTTAGCCGTTTAGCTCTTTGTTGTAATACACTGTAATAAACTTACTGCATATATGATCTCCATGTGAAAACTGATTATTAATTGATATTTCACTCTAAACTAACTTTGTTTTCTATTTTTCAGGAAGCGTTGTGATACTTGCTAGCGATATTGGAGGACAGAACAAACACAAATTTGAAAATAAAGAGAGCTATCCGTCGACAGTATATATTAATTACACTGTCATGGAGTTGCTCTCTTTATGTACAAATTTAGACGCAACGCATGAAAACCGCATCACGTTTTGGAAATTGGATGGCTCCGCACCTCGGATTTCATATTTTCCCACAGAAAAGAAAGATCTACCGCGCATGCGCTTAAATTTCACACACTGACCCACAACTGCATCGTTTTATTTCTATAAACAGCGATCTCCACACATTTATTTCGATTTTTATTGAAAATTTAATGCGATCTGGGCAATAATTTTTTTGATATTATCGGAATTTATAGTAGATTTAACTGAAATATATATATATCATTTTCTTCTTCAATTGAATGAGCATCCAAACCCACCTTAAGGCAGTTTTGACATGACATTACGTCGGCACGGAATGCAAATGGTTTAGTGGTCTGTGAAAATTTAAAAACAATAAATGTGCGTTTTTCTTCAAAGAAACTTCCGCAGGTCACTCCGTTGGTGATAAATGGAACTTGCTCACTTTTTGCTAATCATCAAGTTGTTATATCTATAATAGGACAGTTTATAAGGTTGTGGTCAGTAGCGGAGCATAGGTATCAAAATATAGGAGTTTTTAAAATGTTTACGTTTTAAAAAAATGCATAGAAAGGTATATATAATTTTTTTCCAAAAAACATTGATTTCTAAAGATAATCTATTATTATTTCATTAGTAGGTTTGGTTGTACCAAGTTCGATGCTTTTCCTTCTGTATTTACAAGGTCCAGATAAATGTAATATACATTATTATATAAACTAAATAAAACCAATGTAGCACCATCTTGTTATTCAATTTAATTTACCTGACTATAAACTACAGTACATAATCGCACTCAATAAAGTGGAAGTGAAGGCAAACACCTGTGGCAAGAGTCTGTTGTCAACTGACATAATATAATCACCGCGGTTAAAACAACGGGAAGGTCAGTTTGTCTTTTTTTTCCAACTTCCATTATTCTTGTAAAAGGACTGGAGCCTAACAAAATTAAAATCCTTAGTTGCGAAAATCCGAATCAGGCCCTTCCCGCATTCACTGAGTAACCCAAAATCACAGTTAAGGTAAAATTAAGGTTAAGTAAGGGTAAATATTTTTTTATCTCTGCCCAATTAGAACTTGTTTGTTTTCATATTTTATTAGCGAAATAAGAATTTTCTTGCATGAACAACCTAACCTTGAACTAAAGAAAAATAATTTGTAGAACAATAATTTTGACAATTATTTTATTCTAGCAAGAATTAATTAAATTTGCCCATACATACAATTTTATGATTAGATTTACACATCATGTCGAAAAATAGGTTAATAGTCGCTTTTATGCCTCGAGTTTAACCTGAATTGTGCTGTTTTCAGCACTAAAATATTTCCTGGGGCTTTGGTGTGTGAAGAATCAAAACTAAGAGGAGATATTACGGTCGGGGCCGGCACTATAATACATCCTAGCGCAACAATAAATGCAGAAGCAGGCCCCATTATTATTGGTGAATCTTGTTTAATAGAAGAACAAGTCAAAATAATTCATAGGTTATGTTTATAAATTTTCTTTAGAATATTTAAAGCATTGGGAACATGTTTTAGGCTTCCGTTTGATCATCAAACTAGCGAAAATACCCCGGTACTTATTATAGGATCCAACAATGTATTTGAGGTTGATTGTACTGTTGAGGCTTCAAAAATTGGAAGTAACAATGTTTTCGAAACAAAATGTTTTGTTGGAAACAAGGTGACTGTATCTAATGGATGTACCATTGGTGCGGGATGTAGGATAACAGGCGAACAGATTTTAAAAGAAAATATTACAATATATGGAGCGAAATGTCAAATGAGAGAAGGTTTAGATAAGCCTGTGGTAAGTGTCTTAAATCGTACAATTCATCGATATAAAGTCTTTATTACAGCAATGTCATATTTAGTCATATTGGTTATTTAGTTTGATGCTTCTGTATTAACATGGCAATTAAAGTCTGTTGCTGCTCCAAGACTCTCATATGCATTTTCTTTTCTTTGAGTTCCATATCGAGTTTTCTTTCCATTTCCTCTTTCTCCAATTCAAATTTTTCTTGTTCTAATTTAAATTTTTTTTCTCGCAAACGAAGTTTTGTTTTTTCCAATTCAAGTCTTCTTTTTCTCATCTGCGTGTTAGGGGTGGTTTTAACTGTTAAAAACTCAATTGCATTCGACTCCGTCGGATCTGTTTCAATTTTTAATTCTAGATATAAAATTATTAGTTGTACATTACCAAATTCTGACTTTATCTTTATTGAGCGTACCTCTATTTGCTGTGAATTGCTGCTGTTCCGATAACTCATCCGATGATTCTTCTAGGAACATGAATTGTATGGAATTTAAATCTTCTTCGCTGGTTTCTAAAATATGGGTAATTGTTGGTAACTTATTTTTAAGGAAAATATTGGCACATTTTACTTATTTCGTTAATATCAAATCCACGTTTTATTTCTGTCAATGCGGGACCATGCTTTATTTCAGCATATACTTCTATCAATCGAATCACCTCTTTGGTCAGCCTTACTTTTTCTCTAAATTGTTCATGACTCGTGGCATCTCTGTAAGCAACATAAAGTTATCAAGAGAAAAAAATAAACACAATTTACCTTTTAGTCTCTCCCTTTTCGTGCGCTTTTATAATGTTTTCTAAGCGATTCCTTATTGATCTTGCGGAATGCGGTTGTCGAAATATTTGATTAAATTGTTTCTGAACAATTTTCCACCTGGCCCATTGTTCAAAAGGATTATGTGCCAAAATCAACTCCAGCAACTTGACGTCTTTCTGAGTATTGTAATTGATCCTTTTATAAAATGTACCGAACATTTTCAAATGTTATGTACATATATGCCTAATAACGCAAACAAAATAATGCACATTACGTATGAAGTTAAGCATTAAACGGAAACTGCACCATGGTTTGGGTAGATCAACCACAGTTGTTTCTTCGAAACGTAATGACAGAACCACGTCGATTTGTCAGATTCAAGCACAGACCATAGAACATATTTCCATGGATTTCGAATTGGTCTCGGTTAATTTAATTTTAGTGTTGTATTTATGATAAACAATTAATATTTTTTGTTGTAGCTTTTGATTTTTTTTCGGGTTTATTTCAGCCGCAAACATTACAGATGGAAACCTTAATGAAAATGTTACCGAATTACCATCACATACGGAAACCGAACAAAAAATACTAAACCTAGGTTGTATTGTATTTCAGGATAAATATTAAAGTTAATTTTTAAAGTGATTGAGTTGATTATTTACTAATTTATTAAGCCATCTAATAAATAACACCTGAAACTTGGTGCGATGAGGATATGCAGAGCTTATAGGGAAGAGGTCTTGCAGGCAGGCGTAGTTAACAAAAACAGATAGGAGAGATTAAATCCTACCTACCTACCTACCTACTAAAAACAACTTAAAAAATGCCCATATTAGCTGAAATAGGAAGATAGTCTCAATAAGCATCAAAGTATTACGAATTTCTTTTCATTGTTTTGTCTTAGAATATGGTCACTTTGATAAAAGAATAATTACACATACAACTTATAGATTTATTAAATGAAACATAAAACATATTCCTAAAGTATTATTAAAATGTAAAGTTATGTCATATTACTCTTCTCAAACAACATCGATATCAGTTGTTGCTGCTGTTCAAGGATCTTCATGTGTAACTCTCTTTCTTTCATTTCGATTTCAAGTCTTTTACTCCTCTCCCACTTTTGTAACTCAAATTTCTGTGATTCCAAATTGAATTCCTTCTCTTTTAAAGCTAACTTTTTTTCTTCCATTTTCAATTCCCTTTTCTTCATTTGCATTTCCTCTTTGTGCTTCGATTTAAGATATTCTAACGTTGTCATTTCGTGGGAGTTTGCATTACTCTGGTCTAGAAACTCATGTTCTAAAATGAATGTTTTTTTTTAACAAGACTGACTTCAGACATCACAATGAAACCTGTATATTCCGCAGAACCGTCGGAACCTGCTGGGCTATAGGTTGCCTGTTCCTCATGCATACCATCCATAGATTCCTGATTGTCGGGACACTCGACTTTTAAATATATCAACTCCCCCCTATTGTCATCAGTTGAATTCATACCTTAAATGCAAATTGAACTTCGTCAAAAAATATATTGTTTTGGTAGATACATACTGTTATTTTGCTTCATAAATAATGGACTTTGTAGTTGGTAAGGGTTAGGTCTTGGTTCCTTTATGACTTTACTCTTTTTGCATCGTTCTATCAAATCAACGACAGTGTTAAGCAGGCTGTGATGTTCTGTTTGATATCCAGCAGATTCACTAAAACAAAGTCAGCTGGCTGAAAAGGCAAATTATTTAAATTGACAACCGTTCTTTTTGGTTTGATGTATCCTGAACTGTGAAATTTAAGGCATCAAAGTTAACCAATTGAAGTACAAAACACAAAAAAATGTTTTTCCTTATTTCCAATTACCGAAAACAACTATTTTTCTAATTTAAATAAAATCACGAAGTCAAACAGAGCGAATCCATACAATAAACGTTAACTAACGTACCCTTGTTTACCGCCATGGACGTGACGTCTCGTTAAGAGATCGACATGGTCTTTTATCGCTCGAATTGAAAACGGCTTTCCAACTTTAGCCACAAAATTTTCGCAGACTGTTCTCCATATAGCAGGATTTTCGAACGGATTTTGGTTGATCACTTCTGTCAAAAGTAACGAATCGTCTTCGGGAGAAAATCTTAGCCGACTCCGTCGGAATTTAACAATTTGGTTCATAATTTTCGAACGATTACGTTCGTAACTCACGTAGCAGAAAACGTACGCTATTATCACGTCAACAGCACAGACTATTCAAAAGTTATAGCATAAAACGTTTGGCGCCGTATTTTTCGTTCATTCTGTTCGATTGCAAACCGCCCGCTTGAGAATAAAAAACATTTAATGCCAAAATTTTAATCAAAATTCCTTCTTGAAAAAAATTCCAACACGTATAGGGCAAAGTTAAAGCCGACAATGGAGTTACACCAAGAATCGTAAACCTAAGAGGATTGCGCAATCCCATAAGACATACGTTCGTCAAAATTATAGATCGCACGTGGTCGCTTGTGACGTAAGCGAAGTCTTCTAACGGTTTTGTGTATTCTGTCAATGCATTTGAAGGCGTATTAAACCGTTGTATTTTGGGTTCTTTGAATAATTAAAATAATTTAAACTAGTGAGTACATCGCTTATGTTTGAGTTAATTGTATTTCTGTTAAAAAAAACTTGGACAAAACAGTGTTTTTAAGTTTTAACAAATACTTTAAAATTGTATGTGCTTGAGTGGCGAGAACTGAGAAAAGGAGTATTTTTAACCTTAAACAAAGAAAGTTTTGTGTTCGTGCTGCTTATTAGCGGTATATTAGTTAGGAGGTAAGCTCAAAATATTACACATAATAATATAGGTAAAGGTAAGAAATACATTTCTTTTACCATTTTCAGTGGGATAAGTTCCATCAAAAAATAGTTGGGTATGCCTGGGACGAGATGTGCCATGTATGGGTGCAATAACAACTATTTTGATGAAAAAGCAAGTTCTCGAAAATGTAGTTCCCGAACTATTCGGAACGAGTGGATAGTTTGATGTAGAAGGGAGGACAAACTTAATCCAGATAAAAGCTATGTCTAATCAGTTCTTTTTACCGAAAATGATTACGAAACAAACTTACAAAATGAGTTATTAGGTTTTTTTTTGTCTTGAGTAACACATTAAAATCACCCCAAAATTAAATTTTAGGTTTACCTTTAAAAAAGATTCTAAAAAAAACTGCTGTTCCCACCCTATTATTATTTTGCCCGAAGCCACCAACAGAAGCAGGATTATCTAGATCAAAAAGACTTCATTCCAAAAATGCCAAAAAAGAAGCTCAGCAAGTATTGTCTGAGCTTTTAGCAAAAATATTGAAGGCCACAAGTGAAATTCTAGAAAAAAATCCGTCTCCAGAACCCATCTCCGAACCCCAAATGAAGAATCATAAACCTAATGTTATGTATGCCTAATATATTTTTTGTTTTTTAATATGTTCATCAATATATCCAAAATCCAAATCCAAAAATAGGAATTTCTAGTTTATAAGTATTTGTTGATTTTTAAAATGGTGGAATGCCATAAAACACAAAGTTTTGCAAGTAAATCGTTTTGTTCGCTAGTTTTATGTATTTATGTGTAACAATATTTAACTAATAAATGTATTTCAAGATAATACATATAAGCCAAACTTGATTGCAATAGTATTATTTTTACCCTACCTGAGACCCTATCCTACGGTACTTCCCAATAATTTTTGAATAAGTAAAAACGATTTAATGTTAATTAAATGAAAATAACGAGTGATTATCCAAACAAAATGCTATATTAGCTACTCAAAATACAAAAAAGTTCATCAAAACTCGGGACAGTTTCAGATTATTTCCATGCATTTACATAGTAAACGCGCCACTTACGTCACAGCCAGCGAGAGTTTTCGCATTGCTCCTGCGGACAGATTTGGCGGATTTGGCAATCATATTAGGTTTACGATTCTTGGAGTTGCACAACAGAGTTTTTATATGGCTTATCATGAAAAAAACACGGCGTCATAGACTGATCAAATTTTGATGTAGTGGCGCCGTTGGTTATCTTTCTTCCAAACTAAAATATTTGTTAGTCTTTACCTTCTGATCAAAGATGGCGCTCAAAGCAGTCATTTTGTTCATCCCTCTTCAAACGCACTATATGAAATACAATTTTTATTTTTCTATGCACGCATTGACGCACACAATTTCAGTTAATATCAAAATTAATTAAATATTTCGCCATTGTGGTCTACTAGCGATATAATTTAACGCTTCCCACTCGACCTCGCTAAAAATAACATATATATTACACGCTGCAAAAAGTGCTGCGCCCGGAAGGGCTGATTGGCGTGTTCCACAGCACCCTTCGCGACATTAACGCGGGCGCATTGTTCGACTGTCAACCTGTCAAGCGATTGTTTTCCCGTCAATCAACGCGGCGCTGCAGTCGGAGGCGAACGCGTTAAAAATCGCACAGCGCGTATGTCCAGGATGACGAAAAATTTATTGAATTCAATCGTTGCGTGATAAATCGACCGACAGTTTTCAATTATTATTATAATCTGGTCGCGTCTAGCGTTAATTGCCGTAAATTGGGGAAGGTTATAGTCCCCTCGTTCTATTCGAGATATTTAAAATGAATTTTTGTTAGCTCGGGTGACCAGAGGCAGATTATTCTCGTACCGTTTGTTTCCGCAGTTTTATTTTATATTTTCCGTGAACGAATTATTCAAGATATTTGGTACAAAAGAGTTTCGAAATATAACGCTCATTGTAGACAATTTTGATTGGTCGCGGTATGAAATATAACAATACTCCGATATCGACACAACTTTATACTGACACACATTTTTGAAAAGCAGAAAATTTCAAGATTTTTTAGTTTCGTGGTCCATGAATTTTTGCTATAGTTGAAACTACGCAGTGAGCCGTAACGTAACGTCATTGCGTCTAGACTGTGCCTGAGCAATGTTGATATTGATTTGGATTTTTTCAAATATCTCTCGCAGCTATTTGATAGACGAAAACCGTAAATATAAAAATTGTAGCTCTGGATGCTCCCTATAATACTGTTTGAAGCAATCAGTCGTATTTTTTACGAATTTTGATGTGCTGCTAATAATTTAGTTCCGAAAAGGATTATTAAACTAACTCAAAAACTAAACTCAAACACCCTGTATATAACCGAAAAAATGCATAAAACCAAAGTTATAGCCCCGGATCGGGTGAATAGTTTTCGGAAGTTTTGGAATCGAAAATAAAAAAAAAATCAAAATAAAAAAAAAACATAATGAAATTGATTGGGCCCAATTTCTACTGTTTAGTTGTGGGTACGGACTTTTATTCATCTGTTAAAAAATTTGAAGTTCGCAGCTGCAGATTTAGGACACTGAATACGTTTCTTCTATTGCACGGAATATCATATACAATAGGTGAAAACCCGAAATGCAATTGTCGTATAAAACAAATTGACTACTGATAAGTACGTCATAGCACATTAAAATACATTGTTTAAACAATACATTTAAAAAATACATTAAAAAAAGTCATCTACACCTACCAGTTAAAAAGAGCTTAATTCTTTTCTTAAACACAGATAAACTACCAGTTTCTTCGAAGCATTTATAGAAATTTGAAGAACTGTTATATATTTTCGATATGCAGTCTAGAGAATAGAACGTCCAAGTATTCTCTTTGCCGTGTGTCATGTTCGTGCAAGTCACATCTATTCCATCTTGTCATGTTACTTTTGACGTAAGTCAAAACGGAGATAAATATAATGGGTGTTTTTTTTTTCGATGTATAGAAATTTAAGTTGGCATTACTGTTCAAGATGGCGACCGATTTAACAGCTGTCAAGTGATTTATTCTCAGTTTGGTTTTTGCAATTCATCATGAATAGACTCACGCCTGAACAACGCTTGCAAATAGGCCCAAAGCGAGATTGCCGTTGTTCCCGATTTTAATAAGCGAATTTTATTTAGCGATGAAGCGCACTTCTGGTTGAATGGCTACGTCAACAAACAAAACTGCCGCATTTGGAGCGAAGCTAATCCTCAAATATATGTCGAAACACCGTTACATTCAGAAGAACTGACTGTTTGCTGCGTTTTATGGGCTGGTGGAATCATTGGTCCGCACTTCTTCAAAAACGATGATGGCCAGAACGTTACAGTCAATGGTGATCGGTATAGAGCTATGATTTTATTCCTGAATTGAATAGCCATGATGTCCGGGAGATGTGGTTTCAACAAGACGGTGCAACATGTCACACAGCTCGTGCCACAATCGATTTATTGAAAGACACGTGTGGTGACCGCCTAATTTCACGTTTTGGACCTGTGAATTCGCCTCCAAGATTTTGTGATTTAACACCGCTAGACTACTTTCTGTGGGGCTATGTAAAGTCATTGGTCTATGCGGATAAGCCACAAACGCTTGACCATTTGGAAGGCAACATTCGCCGTGTTATTGCCAATATACGGCCACAAATGTTGGAAAAAGTAATCGAAAATTGGACGTCCAGATTGGACTACATCCGCGCCAGCCGTGGTGGTCATATGCCAGAAATCATATTTAAAATGTAATGCCACAAGATTATCTTTCGGATAAATAAAATTCATGTCAATCGAATAATGCATCGTTGTTTTATTGCAACTTAAAGTTCTATGCATCGAAAAAAAAACACCCCTTATAATGAAGTGTTATGATCTGAAATTCCCTAAATAAATTCCGAAGAGGTAAGATTTAACCCATGAGTTTGCGGACCTCTGACGCCCATATTTTCCAGTTTTTTTAAGAGCAGGCTGTGATCGACAGTGTCGAATGAACGGCTCAAATAAAAAATAAGCCTAATGTCGCTGCTTTATTATTAAGATAGATATGCTCCAGAGCATAGTCCATGTGATTAAAAAATTAGTTTTAATTATTATTTAAATATAATTTTGCCAACATAACAACGCCACATTTCTTTTTTCAGTGGGCCCAAAGTTCTTTAAAAAAAAATACCAACCACGATTCGAACGCTTAACTACAATAAACAATACTGGCCAATTTTATTATTACAAACCATTAGAAAATTTTTCACTAGAATGCAGACTCGTTTCAGAAGATGAAAAAGTATTTACTATTAAAAAATAAGTTTAAAAAAAATATATAAAAATAACTGACGACAAATTTACAATTTCATCATTTAAGCTTGTCTTAAATGGGGGGTCCACTTGACGTGATGTTACTCATAATATTGAAAATCAAATTATTTGGGAAGTTAGCAGTTTCAACGTGAAATATTTTTTAAAGAATTCAATTGAA